TGTGATTAGGTAGGAGATTTTGCTTTGGAGATGAGTCTGGTGGAAAATTACTGCCTGCGTGCAGTGCCTGTGGGCCTGGGTGAGTGCAGGAGCAGTATAAATGCGGGCCTTTCTTGTCCCTCTCTCATCCACTCCCCTCGCCTCCATCTCCCTAGAACAAGGTGAATTTGAAACCCAGTCTCCTCCTTGACATCCTCCTCCTGCTCCGGCAGGAGGATTGGACTAGATGATCTTTTGAGGTCCCTTCCAATCTCTAACATTCTGTGATTCTGTGATTCTGTGATTATGTGAAAATGTGTCATAGAGAGAGGCTGGAACTTTTTTGAAGTGATCTATGGACTAGGCGGGGATCTCCCTGGGCTTGGTCACTTTTAGCGGGGAAGTTTTAGGCTGAAGGGAAGGAGAAGTTGTGGGCCTCCCTACACAACCTCCAGCTCTTGTCTCCAGAACTTGGCTTGGCTTGGGTCCCTTGTAGCACACGAACTTGGCTTGGCTTGGGTCCCTTGTAGCGCGTGACAGGCTGTTCCTCACCCACCCTTCAGGCTCTGCTTCCCCCTGCCCTCCCTCCCAGGTGCACCTCCAGACACAAGCCATGTCCTGCTTCAAGCCGTGCCTGCCATGCCAGAACTGTACCCCAACCCCACTGGCCAACAGCTGCAATGAGCCCTGTGTCAGGCAGTGCCAGGACTCCCATGCCTTCATCCAGCCCTCCCCTGTGGTGGTGACCCTGCCTGGACCCATCCTCAGCTCCTTCCCACAGAACACTGCCGTGGGATCCTCCACCTCCGCTGCCGTTGGCAGCATCCTCAGCTCTCAGGGAGTGCCCATCTCCTCCGGGGGCTTTGGCCTCTCTGGCCTTGACTTCTCTGGCATAGGCAGCAGCTACTGTGCCAGGAGGTCCTTCCCCTGCTAAACTTGCTGGTGATGGCCCTGGGGAAGGCCTCCAGTGACCCAGAAGACGGTACCAGACTGGGGACAGAGTACCGGGTGTTTGCTTTCAGAGGGGCTGAGCAGCACCAGCACCCCTTGCAAAAGGATGTGGCCAGCCTGGGCTCTCAGAAAGCACAACCCATGCCTGCCTTTCCCCTCTTCCACTCTGTCCTTTCCCTCCCATGTCCTTGTGCTCTTGTGCTCCCCTGGACAGTGAGCGCCACCAAGCCAGCCTAGGGAGGACTTGCTGGCCCTGCTCCCTCTGTGGGGCAGGCAGATGGACACCTGCTGGGATCTCTGCCACAGCCATGGTGCACAGACTCTTGTTTTCCCCTGGTGCTTCTTCCACTGGGGCCTCCACTGTTTTCCTCTTTTGACTCATTAAAGTTCTGATGCATCCCAGTCCATGTCTCTGTGTCTTCCTTTCTCCTGCAGATGCTCTCCCAAGATCTTCAGGAAGAGAGATGTTGCTCAGGGGTGGTTTTGGGAGGGGGATGTTAGGGATGAGTGTGCAGTGATGTGCAACAGCTTTGTATAGGGTCTTAGTGGCATGGAGTTAAATTTCACCATATTAGCCCTCTTACTGGTTGTTTGTAGTTGTAGCTTGAAAGGTGTTGATAACACATAAATATTTTTGGGTTTTCGCTGTGCAGTGCTTGCCCAGCATCAAGGCTATCTCTCCAAGTCCCACTCTGAAAATCCAGTAGGCTCGGAGTGGGTAAGAGGCTGGGTGGGGACATAGCCAGGACAGCTGATCCTCACTGGCCAAAGTGATATTCCATACCATATTACATCATGGTCAGCGATAAATGCTAAGAGGAGACAGGGGACAGGGGGGTGTATTAATTGTTAAGATGTTTGTCTTCCAAATCAAACACTAGGAGTGCTCTGACCCTGCTTCCCAGGAGTGGCTGGACATCACTTGCTGATTTGAAGTGGAGAATAAATCTTTTTGCTTTGCTTTGCTTCCACTCATTTGCCTTATTTTTCTTCATTAAACTGTCTTTATCTCCACCCACAAGTTTTTAGTTTTGTTTTGTCCTCCCTTTCTCACTGTGGAGGCGGAGTGACAGAACGTCTTCGTGGACAGCCACACAAGATCAAACCAACTCAGCCTTTTTGGCACTCCATGTGGAGCTCAAGAGAACGGCAGTTTTGAATTGAGCATGCTATAGTTGTAGTAGTTGCTAACTGGCAGGCCTCTGTGCCGGTCAGGGAGTTTACTTGCTGCACTGCTTATCACTTTAATGTGCTGAACTTGGAACGTGTTACTAGAACCAAAGGACATGCACTTTGCCCTCACCTTATCACTTTAATGTGCTGAACTTGGAACATGTTACTAGAACCAAAGGACGTGCACTTTGCCCCATCATTGATGCCCTCAATGTGCTGGGGGAGCTGTCCTGTGCAGAGGACGAGTGAATACACCTCCCTCTTTCCATCCAGGGCTGATGTGGGTTGTTTTGTTGCCTAGGCTCCTGAGGTCCTTGTTCACTCTTATGTGAGGTGTTTAATAACACTAATTAACATTGTTGGCCTGTATTGTGGTTTTGTGGTTTGTTTGGTAGCAGGGGAGGGGCCATAGTAATGGCTCCTGTAAGTAACTGTTAAAGGTTTCCCCTGACTCCCAGTCTGCTCTGGTAGCAGGGGAGAGGCCACAGGGGTGGTTCCTGTAAGTACCTGCTAAGAGCTCCCTGCCCCGCCCCAGCTCCAAGCCTTTGGAGCCGGGGCCTGGTGGGGGAGGGAGTACTACCAAGATGGCCCCTGTGAGAAACTGCTGGAAGTTCCCCCAGCTTCAGGCTGGACCCAGCTGTGGCCAGGGCGGAACCAGTAAGTGCCTCTGCAAATTACATATTTAAGAGGGGGCACACAACATGGAGGGGTTGGTGTGGCCCTGGGCAAGGCCTGGGAGGACCGGCTGTCCGGCTGCCTACCAGGCTTCTTCTGTAACCCGACCTGCTGCAGCCCAAGCCTCTGCCATGGCTTGCCCAAGAGCCAGTTTTCTTGGGAGCTGGTGAAAGAAGCTGTGGCAGAGAGAGAAGCAGGATCTGAGAGAGGCAACTATGCAGACATGCCAGCCAGTGAAGAGAAATGAGAGGAAGGAGGTTCCCCAGAACAGAGATTGTCCTGCAGCGTGGTGAAGAAGCATGGTGATGCATGTCATCCCCTGTGCAGCCCATGAAGAAAGCAGAGCTCACCTGTGGCTCATGGAGTTGTAGCTGTGGAGGATCCTACATTGGAAGAAGTAGCCGTGCCCGAAGGAGGTCGTGAATTTTGTTCATGAGACCCGTGACGGAGCCGAGCAGCTGTCGGAGGACTGTGACCCCATGTGGGAAGGACTCACATTGGAATAATTTTGTGAAGGACTCTCATGTGAGAGGGACCCCACACTGGAGCAGGGATGACTGTGAGGAGCCCTCCCCTCAGGAGGAAGGTGCAGCAGAGACAACATGGACTAACTGCAACCCCAGTTCCCTGTCCCCCTGCACCGCCGGAACGGGGAGAAGGTAGAGAAATCAGGAACAA